CTCCACTACAGAGCTCATCATTTGCACACTGCAATATCACCACTAAAACACTTAAATCAATGTGAACAATAACAAGAGAAGAAAAAAAGTTTTTGACATCCCCTACAGTTTAGGATAGCAGCAATATTTAGTGTGAATTTCTCTGCTCATCAAGCTAGCTACTCGAAAAGATGTCAGAAACTGGAGAGAGAGAGAGAAAAAGAAAAAAAAAAAAGTGAATGCAAAGATTGAGTTCCACGGTGTATCCTCATTGCCTGGTGCTCATGACTCATGGCTTCATTTAATTTCTGGAGTAGATGGGAGTCTCTTTCTCTCTTTTGTAAAAAAAAATAAAGTATCTTTGGTTAAAGAAAAAAACAGGTTTATTGCCCTTCAAATTGCTAATGGAATTGCCTTCAAACCAAATTACAATACACAATCCCTTGAATATATAAAAAAAGGAAAAATGTCACAGTCAAAAGTGTCCCTTTCTTGGAATGTTTTGTGTATTACACCAAAACTACTAGAGAAAGAGAGAGAATTAGAGACCTGCCAAAGCCCAATTTGTTTGGTACAAGCAGGTAAAACCTGCCAAGGAAGATTCAATTGCATTTGTTCTCTCAAATGACTGGATTTAACCACTCTACAGTGAATCTGCTTCCATTTGGGTTTTCCAGTCTGCTCATGTCAGTGATTCTCTACCCTCCCTCCTGCATTCTGAGCTCACAGCAGGCAACAGAACATCCTCCTGAGGAAAGACAGTGTCTGTGCTCCCTTCTGCTTCCTGCACAGGCAGAAGGCAAGAGGACATAATGGGGAAAAGAACCACTTTTTCACTCTGCCAGCCATAAGCCACCCATAAAACTTCCAGTATCTAAACATTCTCCTACCCCTCAAGTTTCCACACCATGTACTCCGTGCACACAAGGAACACCAACTGACCCAAACCATGCCAATCCCATTTCCTCTCCAAAGGACTCTGCGAGCAAAACCAGCTGGCTGTTATGATGTGTGTGGTACTGACAGCACGCAAAGCTTTTACTTCCTCTGCTGAAATGACTGTGTTTCCCCAATGACCAACCACACCTTCATCCATACAATTCCTTTATACGAGTGTGAGGGAGGAGGTGTTGCTCAGCTCCCTAACATCCACCAGAAAACACAGCTCTCACACAGTGCTGCACCATCAAAGTGATCTGATGGTTGTGCTGTGCATCTCTTGTAATCAGCATCCCACCACCACAACTGCCTGGCAGACCAGCAGCTCCAGGATGGACAATGTGAAAGGTGGCTCCTCTGACATGCACTGGAACCCTTCTCTCTGCCAGTCTGTGCTGATGTAACAGTTCCACTGCCAAATACCCCCCAAAATCAGATCTGAGCCCATGTGGGAGAGCAGGCCAGATGGGTACACAGGGAAAATGCAATTAATACAAGTAAAACACTACTGTGATTGAGACTGCAACCTTTCGTGCTTTGCTGATCTTAGGCCGGAGGAGCACATAAACAAGTATTTAACTTGAAGTTCTTTAGCAAAGCACTCAAGTGCATCATTAACTTTTAGTCTTTGCTGAAGTCCTGTAATTTTTTGATGGAATTCAAATTCAGTCACTGCTTCCCCCTATTCTAAAAGAGCAGGTGATACAAATCAAACCATAAATACCTAAACTGTAGCAACCAGAACAGCATAATGAAATTCCACAACAACTAATTGTAAAAGAAGGGAAAATCTACAGGAACAAACAAAGAAAAAAATCAAACCAAGCACCCTGGCCTGTGGGCACCTAATTAGCCTTCAGTGAGAGAGGAAGAGCAAGTGAGGAACACTGCCCTGTCTGCAGCCATGCTTTACCCAGCTAATGCCATCTGTGTGTGCCAGTGTGCTTTATCCAGTGATGGGTCTGAGAGCCATCCTTGCAGCTCTGCTGTGCCTCCTTCCATAGCCCTGCCTCTGGAGAGCCATCCAACCATGTCCTCCTCTAGGAAAACCAAACTCTTAATATGTGGTGTGGCCTTGTGTTGTTTGCAAGGGCTCAATGATCATGGCTTGGAGCACAAATAAGCCTTAATCTGATATAAATGTCCTTTCAAACTAAGAGATGGTGAGCTGGACCCTGGGCCACCAAGGTCCTTGCCTGCCTTTGATCCAGCTCTCCTGACAGATCATTATGTTAGCTGCTAGCAGGTGCTGGCCTGTGAATGAATGTTTCTGGACTTATCCTGAAATGCAGATGTGACCCAGAGGATAAGCCATGCTCCTCAAGGCTGTAACCACTCTCACTGAGCAGTCCCACTCCCCCAGATTAGTGGCAGAGTTTTCATCATCAGAATAATCTCGTTTCTCCTTCCTCCTGCAGTTCTCATAATCACAGTAACCCTTCCAATGCCACTGATGAAGAGAAATAAAATAAACAACAATAACTACAAGAGAAAAAAAAACCCCACAAAGTTTAAGGAATGCGTGTGCAATTAAAACCCAGAGTAAAATATAATAATAATAAAATAATAATCATAATCATAACAACCATACAATAAAATAACATTATCTTTCCTTTTCATGACATAAGCAGCATGATGCTCTCGCTCCCAAACTGGTGAGAGAGGAGAGGAATGCAAGAGAGAGAGCAGGGCTTTATTTTCCTGCCTCAGACGAAAGGGGACGTGTCTTTCCAAAACAAGAGTGGGGGTAAGGTGCATAGGCTGCTGGGAGATTGCATCCTCATCTACAGTATACTGAGCTGGAATGAAGGACAGGCAGGAGAAGAAAACTGTGCAAGAGTAGCCCAGGAACCAGAGCTAGCAACCAGGAAGGTTATTTGGTGGTTAGCCAGAAGACAATGGCCTTGTTGAGCAGCCTATGCGTAGCAGGATCCCTTCATCTTCCAGGCCAGCCAAGCACTTACTGCAAAACAACGTATTTGTGCTTGTCCTTCTGTCAGCTTTTCCAACCTGAGAGAGCCTCCTTCCTCACTGCCACTCAGGGAACCCATCCCTCACCACCCTGCCAACAAACCTGCTATTTTCCAGCATCTTGCAAAACACCTGACTACTCCATGCTCTAGTTTCAAGGAAATGTAGAGTGGAACTGAGCAACCCCCGTAGACTTCAGCTTTCATGGAAACGTTCTACCAAACTCCTTTCTCTCCTTCCTCCTCAGGACATCCACAGGCATGATGGTACTGATGCACCAGTGCAAGTGCCATCACCAGGGAAACTCCCTGCTGAACCAAACCAATGACAGGAAAGGCTCTCTTTAGAAACTGTTGGAAAACAAAACAACCATGTAGCATTCCTTGGTGTGGAGCACCAACCTACTCTCCAGTTCCAGGGTCACTCTGCCATTGCAGGCAGTTTTTCGGGGTGTAGGTGAAAAGAGAGCAGGGGAGGCACACAGTGTCACAGCTATGTTAGAGTGGGTAAGGCTCTATGTATTACAATACTCTTTTCATTTAAGAAACCTGAGATTGACTCTCTCAACTGGATTTTCTCATGCTTGCTTTGGGACTCCAGCCCTTTCCTGACCCTTTCTCATCAACAGACGCAGTGAGAGATGTTGGCAACAACTAGTGTTTCCCCCTATCAAGGACTAAATTTTTGTTCCCATTTGAGACACATGACCAGGACAACCTGATGATGAGGGTGGACACTGTCCTCCCACTCCATCGAGAACATCGGCAAACAGCAGAATGAGAATTCAGTTTCCAAGGAGGAAACCTGCTATTTCAACAGGACAGAAACAGACCAGTCCACAAATGAGTCCCCAGACCCTCTGGGTCCTCACAACCAACCTGGTTGCTTCTAGCCCATCCAGTGCTTGACAAAACACCCAGTTATATGCACTTCTGACCCCAACGAGCCACCCCAACACCTCGCCAAGTGAGCTACGATTGACGACGTGAGAAAAAAAACCCAACACCACCAGCAGGAGAAAATCGGCAGTAACAACCACCCCCCCCCCAAAAAAAAAAAAAAAGAAGAAGAAGAAAGAAAAAGAGCTGAGAGTAAATTCCAACTAGCCTCAGTCAGTTTCTAGGAGTACCAGTGGAAGTAAACCCTTAAACCGCGTCTGTAGTTTGGTAAGGCACTACGAGGGAATGATGTAAAACTAAGACTGTGACAGTTGTAATGGCTGTGCCGAGGAACACATCACAGAGAGAAGGCAGCATCTGCACTCACACACACACACACACCTGGACAATCACATTGTTACATGCCTATGTTATATCACTTTTCTTTGTGCAATCACATTGAGGAATAGTCTATTGGTATCGTTGAAGTTCAACACAAAAGAGTAAAAAGGGGTATGACCTGTATAGTGCTACATTCTACCGGGGCTGGGGGCAGGAGGTTGGGGGCAGCTAAAATGTCTCCTCCTATACTAAAATGGCTAGGGATTGAAAATGAACACTTCCAAAAAAAACAAAACAAAACCCTAAAAAAAAATGCAACTGAAATCCAATATACATTATCAGAGATTTTGTTTAGGAATAGCATTTCTCAGGGATTTATCCAGTGTGTTCAAGAAGAGGGAGAAACACCCCCATTGCTTCTACTCTCAACCAGCGCAGCATGGCCTGTTTTGTCCAAGTGTGTTTAAGTGTAGCAGTGTTAGGACCAAATTAAGAGCACTGGGACAACGTTTTGTCCTCCACCCACCGCCTCCCTTACCCACTTTCTTTTTCTGTTAAAAATGCCCCCAAAATTATGTATACTCTCAGATATAAAAACTGCTGTATAAATCCTTTGAAATGCTGGATAAATCTCTAATCCATATACCTAGAGGATTAAAAACCTAATGGATTTCATTTTAGGTGTTCTGGACAACAAATTTCTAAATGTAGCTCACTATTGGATGAAAAAAACCTTTAAAAGTCTATTGGTGAAGTTCTTCAAAAGACAGGACCCGCTGGAGGGTCCTTCTCCTTCTCTCTTTCTCTCTAGTTTGGTGCAGAATGGTTGTTTTTTTTTTTTGTGGTTTATTTTTTTTCTGTTCTTTTTTTCCATTTTCTTTTCTTTTTTTAAATAAAAACTGTAGAATTGGTTTTTCCCCCCTTCTTTCCTCTTTTTCTTTTCTTCCTAAAGTCTCCTTCGTTCAAGTTTCACACGGGCCTCCCATTGCATTGTTAGTTTGTCACCTTCTTCAACACAAAAGCGGCTGCCTCACTCCCCCCGGGCCGGGCGCGTCTCTCTCGCTCTTTATTCCAGTGTTTAGATGTAAGGGTACTGGTTGACCTTGGTGGGGCTCAGCGGGTATCCAGTGTAGACTGTGGAGGCTGGAGAAGCACTGATATAGGTCTGATGGGCAAACTGAGCCTGGTACTGGCTGGGGTGGATGGTGGGCGAGGGCAGGACGCGCGGGCCCATGCTGACGGGGACCTGGTGCACGATGCCGGCGGGGTAGGTGGCGTGCTGCACCGCGTGCCGCGCCGAGCCCTGCGACGCCACCAGGTGCGCGACGGTGCCCGTGGAGCCCAGGGCGGCGGGGGCGGTGTATGTGTACAGGTGGGGCTGCGTGGGCAGGTGGGCGGCGGCGGCCAGGTGGGGATGGACCGTGCCGTGGCTGGGGCTATTGTGCGGGAAGGAGTACGGGGCCTGAGCTATCGTTGGAGTGATGTAGGCTTGCTGTCGCCGGTGACTCCCTGCGCGGTCAGTCGAAATGTGCTGCTGGCCCTGGATAAAGACAGCAACAGTGAGAGGTGGTTACAAGACAGGAGATGGCTCTTTGCCTTCTCAGAAGGGTCTGGGAGCCTCCCTGCAACCGCAGAAAACTCTCCTGAGATCCTCCTGACACCCTCAGCATTGCCAGTCTTCCCTTGAAAACGAGTGACAGCAGTGGGTCCCTCACAAGCCCATTAAAACCCATACATTGACAAGGTATGAAACTCCGTAGTTTCATACACTGACCAAAACGACCCCCAGAACGTAAGCAAGTCCCCCAGTTTGAGCTACAACCTGCCGACACAGCTACCAAAAGACACAACCTTGGATGCCCAGCTCCCAACAACATCTTCCTCAAGTCCAGTTGCTCAGGCAACAAGTGTTTTTTGCTGGTGAACTCTCTGATGACAAATTGTGGTCTACAGATAGCTCAGGGGAATGAGATTGCCTAACTATGCCTGGAACAGGCAATTTATTTTTGTTCAGTTTGGGTATTTGCAGTTAAAGATTTCCTTGGTTAGTAAAAATAACCACGTTATTTTTTAAGGAGAAAACTCTCAGCTTGATTAGATCCTGCAGGTGCCTGGTGCCCTCATTGTCCTTAGCTAAAATTACTTGAGCCCAGGAAACTTCTAGCAGTGGGAAGGGACCAATGTACTTTTTTCCCCAGGGATTTTTTAAGTTGTCTTCTTGCACTGCACAAAAATGTAGGGAGTTATCCCAGTCATTTGTAGTCAGAGTATTAAATTACCAATAAAGCAGGAATTAGAAGACAAGAAGGAAAATGCTCCATGCTATTTCCTTCTATTCTTCCAAATGGTTTCATCCATTTTGTAAGTACTCTCTCTGCCATCACTGTGGGAATATGGTAGCCACACTCCTCCTCAACTCTTGCAAAGCGCATCTTGCCCACTTCCTCCATTTTCACACACTTTTACTTAAAATTTGTTCACATTTATAAATTTCCTCTGCATATGGAAGGAGAACAGACATTCTCCAAAATAAACAAGTTATTTTTCTTTTAAAAAACAGTTCTGCCAATATCCAGCTCTGGATGCATGCCAGCACCGTCCTCTGAGCTCTCCAGACCTTCTCCTCTTGAAACACTGGTACCTGAGCTGTAACTTCCCTACTCTTCTCAACTCACCTCAGGGAAGAGAGAGGCCCCAGGTGCAGGATGTGAAAAGGGCATTATTTCCTGCAGCTCCTGGGAAGTTCCCTGAGAGTTCTGATCACAGATTGGGAAATGTCTCAAGAACTGCATGCTGCCAAGAAGTGGGATTTGTCCAGATCTCAGCCCAGCTTTATCACAGGATGGATCAAACTCATTACATGAGGTCACTTATATACATAGAGGCTCTGGTTTGCCTTGTCCCACCTGATGGGGATTTCTCTCCCAGTCCCACAGCCAGGCTTAAGCACTCTCTTCACTTGGAAGATATTCTCCCCACAGTTACTTACAGCTAAGGAGAATTCAGTCCTTGCTACATGCTCCTGCTCCACTCCTTTGTGGCTGAGCCACTGCATTTCCCCTCTCATGTTATTCCCCCTCACTCTTTTAGACCATCAGGCTTCAGAGCACACAGGAAGAGTACCCCCAGCCCACTCAGGGGTGTGATCTGCACTACCTCTGCTGCCTGAGCTGGAAGATCAAGGTCTGCAGTCAAGCAGAAACAAGTTGATGAAACTCAACACGGGCTCCAGCTGCCACTAGACTGGACCAGGACAGCCCACGATGGAGGAGTGGTAGGTAAGAGCTGGATGATGCACCACCAAAATCAGTCTTGGTTGACTTACCTGACTTAGATTTAGAGGCTGCTGCTGCTGGAAATGTGCTCCTGGTCGCTGCTGCCTATAGGCAACGGCTCCAGACGAGCTCCCTGAAGAGTGACCGCTGGTGGAGGTCACGGTGCTGGAGGACTTGGACTTGTAGGAGGATGAGTGGTGACTGGTGGTGACTGTGCCAGGAAAGGAAACACATTTGTAGCTTACATGACATTGTTTAATTGCTCACCCTACCTTTTCCTCACCGAGTCTCCTCCAGAGTGGCTTTTGGGAGGAGACACACAACAGAATCAGGTTAAGAAAACTGTTTCTCTCAATTAACAGAATACCTCAGTAGGGCTTGATATACACAAGAGACCTGTTATCCTAGAGGCAGACAAACAAACCTGATTAACTGGACCCAAAGCAGGTCTGGAGCAGGCTTTATAGATCCTTCAGAACCATGAGACAACGTTCTGCCAGCAGAACTGTACAACGCAGGTACAAATCCCAAGGAGAGGAAGGAAAGTATGGTGTGCACAGCTTAAAAAAGCCCTGGCTTGCTAACGTCAGGTGAGTGGGAAGGGAGGGAGAAGGAGCTGGTGGGGAGCTCGCCCTTCGAGCCTTTGTGTTCACCAGCAGTGCATCCAAAGCAAGGACTGCCAGGTAGCTCAAAGCCAACAGCTTTGAGCCAGACTTCCACCATAAAGCCCTTTTCAACACATCACACTATCTAGCATTGCAGAGGTTCTGGATGAGCAAACCTCATCAGTCCACAGTGAAGATCCTGGGGAAATGTTCTTCCCAGAAACATCAACAAATTCAGATGAAATTCACATGTTTTCGATCTCTTACCCGTTTTAATGAAAGCCTACGGAAAGGCAAGGCAGCAAAGGTTCACACTTGCATTTGGGTGCCTTTCATGTCAAATGTTGAGCTAAAGGCTGCATTCTGTTCTCGGGTTTGCACAGAACTAACTGGGACCAACACTTGACCCACGACTCCTGAATGAACCAGGGCTCACAAATAATGCAATATGGCTACCAAGAACAGATGTGTCACTTGAGAGAAGTGCAGGAGCACAGTTTCTTTGGAAAACAAACCAACCAAACAAACAAAATGAAACTGAACAATGAGATTCTTCCAAGATAAATCATTTATTTCTTACTAATTTTCTTGACGGAAAAGGTGCAATTTACCTGGTGCCAGGCTATCGCACTCTACCAACACCTCACTGGCCTGGGTTTTCAGTGGTGGCACAATGATGGTTCGGGGGTTCCCATTGCAGTGAGTCTCTGGAACCCCTTTGGTGTCGTAGCTGTTCCCATTGTTCTGCCCTGTGCGGTGCTGCACGGCGTAAGGGCTGTTGTTGCTGGAGGAGTCGGAGTAGGGGGAGTCATGCACGGTGACACAGCTGATGACATTCTTCCTCTGCTTGGACAAGGTGCTGCAACACAAGCAGACAAGTGGAAAGAGTGAACGGGCGGTGATCAACTTGACACCATTAGAAGGCTCTGCCTGTGGCAGATGAGCTCCCTAAGGACAAAGCACAGCCTTCAGTCCTCTGCTGGAGAGAGGCGGCTTAAGCCAAATCCTGGGCTTCAAAACTCCCTCGTTACTATTCCAGGAAAGCCTTCATGGAGGTCAAGCAGTGAGTAAGATGTTGTGGATAGATCTTATATTCACACTGCTTAGAATAGCACTGAACCAGACTGCCAGATTTATTTTCAGACTGCTTTTTATGTATGTGTGCAGTAGAAGCCCAGCAGTTATACTATGCTTTGTTGCAAGTCTCACCACCCACACAAAAACGTGGCGGTTTCTCCCAGCCTTTCAGCAATGATTTAATAATAGATGCTATGACTTTTCATGCTTAAATTCCATGAATCTACAAAACACACACCATTCTATTTACTAAGATGGTACAACGGACACATTCTCAATAAGCATTTGAAAATGAGGTACAAATGAGAAAGAAATGAATAAAGTATGCAATGCTTTTGATTTTCTTCAATTTCTCTGAACAGGCCTGGGTCTCCTGACTCTAGTGTAGATTATCAAGGTCCTGCTGCAACTAATCTATCTATGACATCAAAAAAGTGATTAAAAAGGCACATCAACACTTTCAAGATTAGTGCTGGAAGTTCATTAGACCAGACTGCATGAGTATGATTGGGATTTGCTCAGGCTATTGTGTCTAATTATTCTTCATGGTTTCTCCTTCCTGTTATGAGCTTGTTTAGGGAGAAAAAGAGAGTGAGAAAGAGGAGGGAGGAAGGGGGATGGTGAAGATTTGCTTAAATAGCTCACATCCTTGACAGTGCACAGACCTTGACTACAGAAAATAGCTGTTATGTTTCACTGATTGCATTATGTTGTTATGGCAACTGAAGTTTTTAAAATGATGAAAAGAAATGGATAGCACATAAAAAGCTAAGTAATTAGGCTTAATGGTGGAAACAGCCCCAACAGGAACAGAAATGCCATAGAGAAAAAGGAATCTTAACTTCATGAGTGTGCACTTTAAACAGAGATAGATCTCTTTCCCATGGAGCGTCCTCTCCATTTTCTCAGTCTGGCTAGTCCAGTCCAGGGAACAGCTGATTAATCTTGTCTCAGTCTGGGATGGAGCTGTTTGTTCCCCGGTCTCAGCACTGCTCCTTTCCCAATGGAAGGTGGAGCAGACACTGAGAACAGTCTCCTTGCAAGGACATTGTTTGCCTTATTTATTTCTCACAGTCCTAAAGGAGCCCTGGTGGGTTCCCTTCAACTTGCCCAGGCCCAAAGTCTCTCTGTCAGCATTCACAACCTGCAACTCACCCCCTGTATTCCAAGACTCAGGGTTGGAAATCTATTTTCTTTTCCCTTTACAGAACACCTTGGGTTGCTGCATTCACAAACAAGTTCCCATCACACAGATGTTCCCTGGGCTACCATCACAGGGTCCTGGTGTGCCCCAAGGAGGACAAAGGACCACATTGTTCTACTCACAGTAAAAAACATGTTTTGAGAGGCCCCTGCCATCCTAAAAGATTGTAACCTGAAACAGGACAGATGAGAGTGAAGGAGAGGGAGATATTGCACAGTTGGAAAGAAATCCTTCCTGGGCAGGGATGGATTGACAAAGAAAATGTGCAACAGCAAACCCTCATATTCTGACTTTTCACAAGGAGCTGGAGAGCGCTGGATTAGAAATGGAAAGAGCAGCATTGCATCTTAGATGGACAACGACTGTGTGTGAAGAAAGATGTAGCAGTTTGGATATGCTGCTATGAAAGAAGAATATTAAGCCAATAAAAATGACTAATATTGCATCAATATACCCCTCTCCATCAGCAGAAAGGCCTGTAATCACACATTTATGAGTATCCACGCTGCTTGCCCTTTGCAGCTACCCTTGGCTGCCAGTTGGGAAGAGAGATATATTCTTTATCTCTGACAGTTATTACATTTTATAAAGAAAAATCAAGTCACTAAAGAGTTTTCTGACAACTGATAAGGTCTAACTGTTCTTTTACAGTCCCTTCCTGATCTAAGTGGCTGAGCTGCTGAACTGGAAATACTTGCTCTCAGCTGACAATTGACATGAGAAAGTTGAGCTGTAGAACTGGAAGGGTAATTTTCTGTGTAATCTGTGCTATTTATTGTTTTAGCATGGGCACATTTTTCACCAGTTTGATTGAGGGTTTGTCAAAACAAGGACCATGGGATCTTTCTCCTTCAAAGTGTTAAAGCTCCTTGGTTACAATAAAAAATTCAAGTATAACTGTTTGATTAAATAAGTGAGTGACCCCAAACCCAAACACTTCTAGAGAAAGGGACCATATATCCGGGTATTAACTCATTGCATGGATGGGAATCTGAAAAGGACCAGAGCTATGGTCCTGCCAGGCCTTATGCAAGTGCTCAGCACTGCTAATATGTGTCATTTCCCAAAGTCAACTGGACTATTCCTGTAACAGAGCTAAAGCCCATGGGTAAATATTTGCAGGATGAGGGCCCAAGTGATCAGCCTCTCAATTCAGCAGGCTGCATCATTTCAAGCACATGAGGAGTCTCATAGAAAGCAGCTGGATTTCTGTCTCTAGGAAAGGTAACAACTTCTGGATGTTACAGCAGGCAGAGAAGTCCTCAGTGTGGACTAATCACACGTGCCCAGAGCTCAGCACCTGCTGTACCAGAGCCTTCCCCAGAGATTAAGGGTGGGAATTTCAAAAACATCAAAGGCCCAACTCCTGCTGAAAATCGGTTGATTCACAGGCTTAAAGATACACTTTAATCCAAAATGGAGGCTTTTGAAAATTCAGGCCAGCAGTCAGCATTCCCCCTACTCAAAGCCTTCTTGGTAGCCAGCAGCTTTCCCCCTTCCAGCTCCCTCTCAGCTGCTCTTCCCACCTTGCAGCAACCCAGAAGTTATCTGTGTGAGGCCCAGGTTGATGGATCACCTTCCCTGCTCACAAACTATCAGGACTGACAGCTTTTACCTGTTGACACAGCACTTGCCTACTCGGCAAGCTTACTGTATTCCTGTAACTCAGCCACAGCTTTTGGGGATGATTGTGCTTACACACAAAAATGCTATTAAAAGTCTTTTCCCCCTTCCTATTAAGCTCTCTCCAAGCCTGGTAATTGCTTTCCCTCCTGCATGCACAGAAGCAGCAGCAAACGTGATTTAATAGTTTGTAGAGTTGGTCTGTGCTCCTGGGCAGCTCAAGTGCCTGCCTGCACTGTGTGGGAAGGTGTATTTAAATTCTCCAGAGGAGGGAAGGGACAAGACTGGGGAAGTGGCAGCAAATCCATCCACACAGAATGAAAAGCACTGAGCCAGGAAGGCTTTTTAACCCTTACTGCCAGGGTTTGTGTCCCCCCTTTTGGGGGAAACACAGATAAAATTAGCATTGCTTTGTATGTTTACTGTTAGTTTGTGAGTAGTATCCCATTTCCACCTGGTCCTAAAGAGCTTATCCTCAAACTTGGACCCAAACCAGTTCATATCTGTCCAATGTGCAGACACAGAGCACAACCATTCCTTTTAAGTGGAAGCAGGTCTTGGAGATGGCTCTCTAACATATACCACCCTTGGGAGTGCCCAGCAGAGATGGATGAGGGTCCCCATTCCCTCCTGCAAGGAGAAGCTTGATAGAGGAAAAGGAAGGAAGACATCCATGCACAGGCACTCGGCAAGACACTAAGGTGGTCACCTGAGATACTGCTAGTGGAAAGGCGCTAGAGACAGATGTTGAGAACAAGAAGTGATAGAAATTAAGGAAAGGAAGATGCTGAGCTAGGTGCTAAAATAATGCTGAATCCACCTCAATAGCCAAAGACAACAACAGAGACGACAACTCCTGAGATGACTTTTACTTGCTGAAGGTCCACCCCGAAATTTTGGAATGCAGCAGCATTGTAGGAACGGGATCTTTCTTCCCCTGAATACCTTGAGTTACAGCAGAAGCACAGAAAAACCAAATGGGGTCTAGTGGGAGCAATTCTTCAGCAAATGGCTCACTCCAAGAGCTACAAACCTTTCAGGGCTGCTGACACTGTAGCAAGAGAGCCTTTTAGCTCTCAAGGTCACCAGCATTTGGGGATGAAGGAAGCCATAGCACAACTGTACCTTTGAACTGGTGTGCATATGGTTAGACCTAGTATCTACCAGGGCATGTTAGCTTTACCTCACATCACAAAAACTCTGTTCTAGGGCTCTGAAAACTTAATGACATGCAACCCTTTTGGTTTGCTGCTTCAGAATAATCCACCTATTCTAGGAAAGCATGGAGTCAGCCAACAAAAACTCACACCACAACTGCAATCAGTCTCCCCACGTTGAAATCTTATGCCATGCATAGCTCCGTGCTGGGAACGTGCCCCTCTCTTTATCTCAGCCTCCATCCTGACCTGTTCATCTGCTCTCACCTTCTTTGTGAATTTGTGATGGTAAGAAATATTTATCAAGCACTACACTGAGGCCATTTTATTAGGCTATACAGCATGTGTCATTGCTATTTAAGTCATATAAACTGAATTGCTGAGCAGGTTGTAAAGGTCCTGCTGCTGAAGGTCTGCTGACAGAGCTACTGTCTATTTCTGTAATTTTAAGTATTAGCTGCATGTCAGTGTGTTCTGGAGATGGAAGGCAGCAATCTTTTAACCAAATGACTGTGGTTAGTCAGTGTATTGCTATGCAGAGTCAGTGCATTACTATGCACAGCAGAACACAGCCACAATAGGCTGGATGTCAAAAGAGAATTACAAATGGTGTTTTGCTCCTCACACATGCACATCAGCAAGTTGACAAAAACACCTGGTTTGTGCCTGCCAGCAATTTCTGTGTGTGAGTCTTCTAAAGTGGGCTCCACCACCACTGCACTACAACGTGAACAAGGTGAATAAAAACTTGCTTATGCTCTGTTACAGAGGTGAGACTCACACAGAAACTACACCACA